CTAAGTCACCTTACTGCCAGGTGTCTAACCCCGGGTGTGACTAAGTCACCTTACTGCCTGGTGTCTAACCCCGCCGTGTGTGACTAAGTCACATTACTGCCTGGTGTCTCACCCCGTGTGTGACTAAGTCACCTTACTGCCTGGTGTCTAACCCTGCCGTGTGCGTCTAAGTCACCTTACTGCCTGGTGTCTCACCCCGTGTGTGACTAAGTCACCTTACTGCCAGGTATCTAACCCCGTGTGTGACTAAGTCACCTTACTACCTGGTATCTCACACCGTGTGTGACTAAGTCACCTTACTGCCTGGTGTCTAACCCCGTGTGTGACTAAGTCACCTTACTACCAGGTGTCTAACCCCGCCGTGTGTGACTAAGTCACCTTACTGCCTGGTATCTCACCCCGTGTGTGACTAAGTCACCTTACTACTAGGTGTCTAACCCCGTGTGTGACTAAGTCACCTTACTGCCTGGTGTCTCACCCCGTGTGTGACTAAGTCACCTTACTACCAGGTGTCTAAACCCGCCGTGTGTGACTAAGTCACCGTACTGCCTGGTGTCTCACCCCGTGTGTGACTAAGTCACCTTACTACTAGGTGTCTAACCCCGTGTGTGACTAAGTCACCTTACTGCCCGGTGTCTCACCCCGTGTGTGACTAAGTCACCTTACTACCAGGTGTCTAACCTCGCCGTGTGTGAATAAGTCACCTTACTGCCTGGTGTCTCACCCCGTGTGTGACTAAGTCACCTTACTGCCAGGTGTCTAACCCCTCTGTGTGACTAAGTCACCTTACTGCCTGGTGTCTCGCCCCGTGTGTGACTAAGCCACGTTACTGCCTGGTGTCTCACCCCGTGTGTGACTAAGTCACCTTACTCCCTGGTGTCTAACCCCGTGTGTGACTAAGTCACCTTACTACTAGGTGTCTAACCCCGTGTGTGACTAAGTCACCTTACTGCCTGGTGTCTCACCCCGTGTGTGACTAAGTCACCTTACTACCAGGTGTCTAACCCCGCCGTGTGTGACTAAGTCACCTTACTGCCTGGTGTCTCACCACGTGTGTGACTAAGTCACCTTACTGCCAGGTGTCTAACCCCGCTGTGTGTGACTAAGTCACCTTACTGCCTGGTGTCTCACCCCGTGTATGACTAAGTCACCTTACTGCCTGGTGTCTAACCCCGCCGTGTGTGACTAAGTCACCTTACTGCCTGGTGTCTCACCCCGTGTGTGACTAAGTCACCTTACAACCAGGTGTCTAACCCCACCGTGTGTGACTAAGTCACCTTACTGCCTAGTGTCTCACCCCGTGTGTGACTAAGTCACCTTACTGCCTGGTGTCTAACCCCGTGTGTGACTAAGTCACCTTACTACTAGGTGTCTAACCCCGTGTGTGACTAAGTCACCTTACTCCCTGGTGTCTCACCCCGTGTGTGACTAAGTCACCTTACTACCAGGTGTCTAACCCCGCAGTGTGTGAGTAAGTCACCTTACTGCCTGGTGTCTCACCCCGTGTGTGACTAAGTCACCTTACTACCAGGTGTCTAACCCCGCTGTGTGTGACTAAGTCACCTTACTGCCAGGTGTCTCACCTCGTGTGTGACTAAGTCACCTTACTACCAGGTGTCTAACACCGCCGTGTGTGACTAAGTCACCGTACTGCCTGGTGTCTCACCCCGTGTGTGACTAAGTCACCTTACTACTAGGTGTCTAACCCCGTGTGTGACTAAGTCACCTTACTGCCCGGTGTCTCACCCCGTGTGTGACTAAGTCACCTTACTACCAGGTGTCTAACCTCGCCGTGTGTGACTAAGTCACCTTACTGCCTGGTGTCTCACCCCGTGTGTGACTAAGTCACCTTACTGCCAGGTGTCTAACCCCTCTGTGTGACTAAGTCACCTTACTGCCTGGTGTCTCGCCCCGTGTGTGACTAAGTCACTTTACTGCCTGGTGTCTCACCCTGTGTGTGACTAAGTCACCTTACTCCCTGGTGTCTAACCCCGTGTGTGACTAAGTCACCTTACTACTAGGTGTCTAACCCCGTGTGTGACTAAGTCACCTTACTGCCTGGTGTCTCACCCCGTGTGTGACTAAGTCACCTTACTACCAGGTGTCTAACCCCGCCGTGTGTGACTAAGTCACCTTACTGCCTGGTGTCTCACCACGTGTGTGACTAAGTCACCTTACTGCCAGGTGTCTAACCCCGCTGTGTGTGACTAAGTCACCTTACTCCCAGGTGTCTCACCTCGTGTGTGACTAAGTCACCTTACTACCAGGTGTCTAACCCCGCTGTGTGTTACTAAGTCACCTTACTGCCTGGTGTCTCACCCCGTGTGTGACTAAGTCACCTTACTGCCTGGTGTCTAACCCCGCCGTGTGTGACTAAGTCACCTTACTGCCTGGTGTCTCACCCCGTGTGTGACTAAGTCACCTTACAACCAGGTGTCTAACCCCGCCGTGTGTGACTAAGTCACCTTACTGCCTAGTGTCTCACCCCGTGTGTGACTAAGTCACCTTACTGCCTGGTGTCTAACCCCGTGTGTGACTAAGTCACCTTACTACTAGGTGTCTAACCCCGTGTGTGACTAAGTCACCTTACTCCCTGGTGTCTCACCCCGTGTGTGACTAAGTCACCTTACTACCAGGTGTCTAACCCCGCAGTGTGTGACTAAGTCACCTTACTGCCTGGTGTCTCACCCCGTGTGTGACTAAGTCACCTTACTACCAGGTGTCTAACCCCGCTGTGTGTGACTAAGTCACCTTACTGCCAGGTGTCTCACCTCGTGTGTGACTAAGTCACCTTACTACCAGGTGTCTAATCCCGCTGTGTGTGACTAAGTCACCTTACTGCCTGGTGTCTCACCCCGTGTGTGACTAAGTCACCTTACTGCCTGGTGTCTAACCCCGTGTGTGACTAAGTCACCTTACTACCTGGTGTCTAACCCCGTGTGTGACTAAGTCACCTTACTGGCTGGTGTCTCACCCCGTGTATGACTAAGTCACCTTACTGCCTGGTGTTTAACCCCGTGTGTGACTAAGTCACCTTACTACCTGGTGTCTAACCCCGTGTGTGACTAAGTCACCTTACTGCCTGGTGTCTCACCCCATGTGTGACTAAGTCACCTTACTGCCTAGTGTCTAACCCGTGTGTGACTAAGTCATCTTACTGCCAGGTGTCTAACCCCGCCGTGTGTGACTAAGTCACCTTACTGCCTGGTGTCTCACCCCGTGTGTGACTAAGTCACCTTACAACCAGGTGTCTAACCCCGCCGTGTGTGACTAAGTCACCTTACTGCCTGGTGTCTAACCCCGCCGTGTATGACTAAGTCACCTTACTGCCTGGTGTCTAACCCCGTGTGTGACTAAGTCACCTTACTACCTGGTGTCTAACCCCGTGTGTGACTAAGTCACCTTACTGCCTGGTGTCTCACCCCGTGTGTGACTAAGTCACCTTACTACCTGGTGTCTCACCTTGTGTGTGACTACTCACCTTACTACCTGGTGTCTAACCTTGTGTGTGACTACTCACCTTACTACCTGGTGTCTAACCCCGTGTGTGACTAAGTCACCTTACTGCCTGGTGTCTAACCCCGCCGTGTGTGACTAAGTCACCTTCCTGCCTGGTGTCTCACCCCGTGTGTGACTAAGTCACCTTACTACCAGGTGTCTAACCCCGCCGTGTGTGACTAAGTCATCTTCCTGCCTGGTGTCTCACCTCGTGTGTGACTAAGTCACCTTACTGCCTGGTGTCTAACCCCGTGTGTGACTAAGTCACCTTCCTGCCTGGTGTCTAACCCCGTGTGTGACTAAGTCACCTTACTGCCTGGTGTCTAACCCCGTGTGTGACTAAGTCACCTTATTGCCTGGTGTCTAACCCCATGTGTGAATAAGTCACCTTACTGCCTGGTGTCTAACCCCGCTGTGTGTGACTAAGTCACCTTCCTGCCTGGTGTCTCACCTCGTGTGTGACTAAGTCACCTTCCTGCCTGGTGTCTCACCTCGTGTGTGACTAAGTCACCTTCCTGCCTGGTGTCTCACCTCGTGTGTGACTAAGTCACCTTTCTGCCTGGTGTCTCACCTCGTGTGTGACTAAGTCACCTTACTGCCTGGTGTCTCACCTCGTGTGTGACTAAGTCACCTTACTGCCAGGTGTCTAACCCTGCCGTGTGTGACTAAGTCACCTTACTGCCTGGTGTCTAACCCCGTGTGTGACTAAGTCACCTTACTGCCTGGTGTCTAACCCCGTGTGTGACTAAGTCACCTTACTGCCTGGTGTCTAACCCCGCTGTGTGTGACTAAGTCACCTTCCTGCCTGGTGTCTCACCTCGTGTGTGACTAAGTCACCTTCCTGCCTGGTGTCTCACCTCGTGTGTGACTAAGTCACCTTCCTGCCTGGTGTCTCACCTCGTGTGTGACTAAGTCACCTTTCTGCCTGGTGTCTCACCTCGTGTGTGACTAAGTCACCTTACTGCCTGGTGTCTCACCTCGTGTGTGACTAAGTCACCTTACTGCCTGGTGTCTAATCCCGCCGTGTGTGACTAAGTCACCTTCCTGCCTGGTGTCTCACCCCGTGTGTGACTAAGTCACCTTACTGCCTGGTGTCTAACCCCGTGTGTGACTAAGTCACCTTACTGCCTGGTGTCTCACTCCGTGTGTGACTAAGTCACCTTACTGCCTGGTGTCTCACCCCGTGTGTGACTAAGTCACCTTACTGCCTGGTGTCTAACCCCGTGTGTGACTAAGTCACCTTACTACCTGGTGTCTAACCCCGTGTGTGACTAAGTCACCTTACTGCCTGGTGTCTAACCCCGTGTGTGACTAAGTCACCTTACTGCCTGGTGTCTAACCCCGTGTGTGACTAAGTCACCTTCCTGCCTGGTGTCTCACCCCGTGTGTGACTAAGTCACCTTACTGCCTGGTGTCTCACCCCGTGTGTGACTAAGTCACCTTCCTGCATGGTGTCTAACCCCGTGCCACCCTCCTCCTGTCCGCTCGGCCACCCCACGCAGCGCGCAGACCCAGCCACGTGGCGCTCATGGCAACCGCGGGGTCCCAGCGCGACTCGCGACGAGACGCAGGCGACGACGAGGAGGAGGAGGTGGAGGAGGTGGAGGAGGAGGTGGATGAGTGGTCGAGCCACGATGGGCACCGCGCGTCGAACCGGGACGCGGACAAGGAGGCGGCGAGCCCGCAGCGCCAGCAGGCGGCGCCCAAGCCCAGTGTGGAGGGCGAGCGTGAAGACGAGAGCCCCAACACCATCATCACCATCAGCACCACCACCACCATCAGCAGCAGGAGCAGCAGCAGCAGGGACTGGAGCAGCAGGACGCGGGCGCTCAGCGACACGCCGAGCCTGGCCGAGCTCCGCTCCGCGCTCAAGCTGGACGCGCAGACCGCCGGTAACACGACGCTAATGCCGCTGCTGCTGCTGCTGTCCTGCTTGCTGTGCTGTCCGCGGTGTTCAGCTGTCCTCCCTGTGGGCCCTGTGGCTGCTGTCTGCCAGCCAGCCCCGCCTCTCCGTGCGCTCCGTGCGGCGGCGTGCGGTGGCGGTGATGATGGTGATGGCGGTGATGGTGATGATGGGAACGCCGCTATCTCGTCGTGTGTGCATCCTCCTGTGTGTGTGTGTACAGACCTGTGTGTGTGTGTGTACAGACCTGTGTGTGTGTGTGTACAGACCTGTGTGTGTGTGTGTACAGACCTGTGTGTGTGTGTACAGACCTGTGTGTGTGTGTACAGACCTGTGTGTGTGTGTACAGACCTGTGTGTGTGTGTGCAGACCTGTCTGTGTGTGTGTACAGACCTGTGTGTGTGTGTGTGCAGACCTGTGTGTGTGTGTACAGACCTGTGTGTGTGTACAGACCTGTGTGTGTGTGTACAGACCTGTGTGTGTGTACAGACCTGTGTGTGTGTGCAGACCGATGTGTGTGTGTACAGACCTGTGTGTGTACAGACCTGTGTGTGTGTGTGCAGACCTGTGTGTGTGTGTACAGACCTGTGTGTGTGTACAGACCTGTGTGTGTGTGCAGACCGATGTGTGTGTGTACAGACCTGTGTGTGTGTGTACAGACCTGTGTGTGTGTGTGTGCAGACCTGTGTGTGTACAGACCTGTGTGTGTGTGTGTGCAGACCTGTGTGTGTGTGTGTGCAGACCTGTGTGTGTGTGTGTACAGACCTGGGTGTGTGTGTACAGACCTGTGTGTGTGTGTACAGACCTGTGTGTGTGTGTGTAGACCTGTGTGTGTGTGTGTGCAGACCTGTGTGTGTGTGCAGACCTGTGTGTGTGTGCAGACCTGTGTGTGTGTGTGTACAGACCTGTGTCTGTGTGTGTACAGACCTGTGTGTGTGTGCAGACCTGTGTGTGTGTGTGCAGACCTGTGTGTGTGTGTGTGCAGACCTGTGTGTGTACAGACCTGTGTGTGTGTGTGCAGACCTGTGTGTGTGTGTGTGCAGACCTGTGTGTGTGTGCAGACCTGTGTGTGTGTGTGCAGACCTGTGTGTGTGTGTGTACAGACCTGGGTGTGTGTGTACAGACCTGTCTGTGTGTGTGTACAGACCTGTGTGTGTGTGTAGACCTGTGTGTGTGTGCAGACCTGTGTGTGTGTGCAGACCTGTGTGTGTGTGTGCAGACCTGTGTGTGTGTGTACAGACCTGTGTCTGTGTGTGTACAGACCTGTGTGTGTGTGTGTACAGACCTGTGTGTGTGCAGACCTGTGTGTGTGTGTGCAGACCTGTGTGTGTGTGTGCAGACCTGTGTGTGTGTGTACAGACCTGTGTGTGTGTGTACAGACCTGTGTGTGTGTGTGTGCAGACCTGTGTGTGTGTGTACAGACCTGTGTGTGTGTGTACAGACCTGTGTGTGTGTGTGCAGACATTTATGTGTGCAGACCTGTGTGTGTGTATCCGCACGTATGTGTGTGCGTGTGCAGACGTGTGTGCGTGTGCAGACGTGTGTATACACGTGTGTGTGTAGACCCATATATATCCCGTATGTGTGTGTATACACGTGTGTGTGTGTAGGCCCATGTATACCCCGTGTGTGTGTCCGCGTGTGTGTGTATATACCCGTGTGTGTGTCCGTGTGTGTGTGTAGACCCATGTATACCCCGCGTGTGTGTGTAGACCCCGCGTGTGTGTGTATACCCCGTGTGTGTGTATACCCCGCGTGTGTGTGTATACCCCGTGTGTGTGTATACCCCGCGTGTGTGTGTAGACCCCGTGTGTGTGTGTATACCCCGTGTGTATATACCCCGCGTGTGTGTGTATACCCCGCGTGTGTGTGTATACCCCGTGTGTGTGTATACCCCGTGTGTGTGTGTAGACCCCGTGTGTGTGTGTATACCCCGTGTGTGTGTATACCCCGTGTGTGTGTATACCCCGTGTGTGTGTGTGTGTGTAGACCCCGTGTGTGTGTGTAGACCCCGTGTGTGTGTGTATATACCCCGTGTGTGTGTGTGTGTGTATACCCCGTGTGTGTGTGTGTGTATACCCCGTGTGTGTGTGTAGACCCGTGTGTGTGTGTGTATACCCCGTGTGTGTGTGTATACCCCGTGTGTGTGTATACCCCGTGTGTGTGTGTAGACCCCGTGTGTGTGTGTAGACCCCGTGTGTGTGTGTGTGTGTAGACCCGTGTTTTCCCCGTGTGTATTCTCGCGTGTGCTGTTCGTAGTACCGTGTAGGATTCTCACTGGGGGTGCTCGTGTGCTGAATGTATACACACTGCGGCGTTGCTGTTGTTGTTGAGGGTTATTGCGAATAACGGGATGCATCATGGGGTGGGGGCAGTGTCATTGAATGATTTCATTCGAGGACCCATGCCCGACCCCATGCCCCACATTCTCAGACGTGGGTCGCTGTGTCGGGATGTGCTCCCCAATACGAACCCTCGACCGGGTAACAATTCCCTGTGTGCGTGTGTGTGTGTGGGGGGTAACGTTGAGAGAAAACCGATGCACAACAGGGGGAGAGAAGAAGCTAAGTGCCAAGGAGGTGTCAACGATCTCGCCAGATATGCAGGAGATCGGGGGTTTGATCCCGACCCTGAACGGTAGCTGCTGTATATTTGGAGTTTACGGTGTCGCTCTCTCTCCCGTCGATTTTTCCCCTCCACGTTCCGCTCGACAAAAGCCACTTCGTTGAGCTGTCATTCGCTTTCGAGAAAGAGAGCTACGGGAAAGGGGGTTGGGTGGGTGGGGGGTTACCTGGTACAATAGAAAACAAAAATTGAGTTTCAGTTTCGTAAAAAAAACTCCAGGTGGAAATGCACCCGAGTCTGGAATCTAACCCAGCCCCTCTCCCCTCCACTTGACACTCGTGGAGAGGAGAAATTCCTTCTGTGCCACCCGTCACGGATGAGTGCCTGCCCACGGCGGTCGTGGTGGTTATTTTACCATACTTCACCACGCTGGCACAGGTGGCTGTGCGCGTAGACGTCGTGGGGCAGGGAGCGCGCGGGGGTGTGTGGAAGTACGGTACAACAACGATTATAGCCGCCTCCAGCGACACGTGTTCTGTGCAACGGGCTCGAGAAGCCAGGTTCGCGTGTCCCGTGCTGTGGCGGGCCCATGGGGAGTTTGGGGCCACACGAAACTCACGGGCGTGAGACGCTTGAACACCATCACTGAAGTCGGTGGTGATTTCTGTTTGTTTGTTTGTTGTCGTTGTTGTTGTTGTTTTCACACGGACTTAAGTTACGCCGTGATTGTCAACGGGTTATTTAGTCCGCGGGAAAAGAAGACGAAGAAGAAGCCGAGGCCGTACGAACTAACCAAGAACGCGAGGCGGTCGGTGGGGGGGGGAGGAGGGGGTACGCAGATGTCCGAGGTTGGCGTGAAGAACCGAACGGATTTGTGAAGCACGTCCAGAGCTGGTGACTGCCGGGGTCAGCGGAGCGATACAACTCAACACAGAGGGCCAAGGGGCTGTCCCTGGTAGGGGGGGAGGGGGGTCCAGGGCAAACCCCACGACGTCAGTGCCGGATGAAGCTCGTGCGGGGCATGTAGCAGCAAGCGATGTTATAAAGGGGCTTTAAATAAAAAAAAATGTAACACAAAGATTAAAACACAAATGTTTAACTTGCACGGTAAGGTAATTGTAGTTTTTCATTTTGCTACACAGCCGGATAATGCGACAAATCGCTAACCTTAAACGCCCAGTCGTTCATAAAAGTTGAAGGCGGTATAGTACTATAGTAATAGAGCAAGTGCAGAATCACTGAACCGGAATTGATAGCTTGAAAATTTTTAGCGCGGGGCCCTTGAAAGTGCGGGGCCCGTAGCTACTACACGTGTGGTAGCTACTACACGTGTGGTAGCTACTACACGTGTGGTAGCTACTACACGTGTGGTAGCTACTACACGTGTGGTAGCTACTACACGTGTGGTAGCTACTACACGTGTGGTAGCTACTACACGTGTGGTAGCTACTACACGTGTGGTAGCTACTACACGTGTGGTAGCTACTACACGTGTGGTAGCTACTACACGTGCAGTAGCTACTACACGTGTAGTAGTAGGTACTACACGTGTAGTACCTGCTACTACACGTGCAGTACAAGTAGCTACTACACGTGTAGTAGCTACCACACGTGTAGTAGCTACCACACGTGTAGTAGCTACTACACGTGTAGTAGCTACCACACGTGTAGTAGCTACTACACGTGTAGCTACCTCTTCAAACTAAAGCGGAAGTATTCTATCTGACACCGTGATGTCGAAGCGCGTGGACCCCCAAACCGCGGGGCCCGGGGCGGTCGCACCCCCTGATTCGCCACCGTACCCGCAATGTCACAAACCCAGGTGGTGTTTCAAATTAGTGCAGCAGCGCTCACACTGATTACGTCTTGCTGGCGAATGTGGTGCCCCCCCCCAAACCCCCACTGCTCTGAGCGTGTAACGTCGATTCTGATTGTGGGAGGGGGTAAAAAAAACCCAGAGGGTCCGGAGAAAAATCCACGCAACCGCCTCGGCGAGAGAGACACGCAAACTCGAAATATGCAGCAGGCGTCAGGGTCGGGATCGAACCAACGGACCTCCCGCACACCAGGCGAGCGAGCCAGATCCCTGAACATCTTCCCACTGACACTTTGCTAATTCCCCACCCTTATCTGAATGTTTCCTGCGCGTATCGTGGAGAAACCATCGGCCGTGCCGTACGCACGCACGCACGTACGTGTGTATGTTGTACGTGTGTAAGTTTCATGTGTGTATGTATGTATGTTGAACTTCTGTCGCAGCGTGTGGAGCAAAGCGCGCTAATCGTAGGCGTCGTTCAGAGCCCATTGTGCCTCCTTCTGATACTGAGGACGTTTTTTTAAAATTCTCGATGTGCCCCTCCCCCCAGGCGAGTTCTCACGCGACTCGTGCCAATTTCGCGTCGTTTGCTATTCTGCCTCCACACC